GAGCCATTTCCGGGGCGCCACCGCGACGGAAGCGGCCGCCGGCGCGCGGCGCGCACATACCAGTAGTACCATGCCTTCTCGAACGCCGGCTACCTCTCATGTGCATAGTTTTACAAGATGAGCTGGGTAGTGGGGGGGGGGGGGGGGGGGGCTGAACGTTGAAATTACTTAACCTCCCGCTAAAAAGATTCAACAGGCAGGATTCGCAGAAGACCTGGCGCACTCTCATTCCAAAGCTGGGGACGAGGGCTGAAGCCGAAGTTGTGGGCAGCTAATAAGTAAACCACACCCCTGCCTCTTCTAAGCTCCAACCAACACCCATGTACTGGAGTTGCGTGTGGGGATCCAATTGGGGTATAATTTGGATTGCAGCCCAATTCGCTCCAAAAGAGCGCCGATACACGCAGGGCATGTGCGTCGCTCGCCAAGGGAAAAAATCCCGTGAGTTACATGGCTACCCGGTCAGTGCTCGACTCGATCACCCTCAGGACTCGGTCTAGAAACCATGGCGTGAATTAGTCATGGACAAATACGCCATGCCGCACACACAAATAAGCCGCGCTCGCAAAAATGTTTACCACGCGTCATGCCCACCAATGCACTTTGGTCGGCGATAATTGATAAATCCCCAGTGCGACACGCTGCCCCAATGGGAAATCACATGGTGCCCGTGGCGCCATACATGTGCAGCGTCGGCCGCGTCACGCCAGGACATATATCAGCTGTGTCACTGCCGCCGTCTCTGCGGCGTAAAACGGCGCGTCACAGCTGCGCGGCTCACCGAGTGCCGAAGCACCCGCAGCGACAAAGTCTGTTGCCGCCCAGGCGCCGACGGCGCTGCTGTACCGCTTATGCGATGGTACGGCAGCGACGCAGCTGCGTCATTAGCATCAAGTGGTTGGCGCAGCTGCGTCATAAGCGGCGGCCTGCGCGTTGCACACCACACGCGGGGCGCGTTTGAAGGGCCTCGTTCATACAGCGCAGGCGTCAGCAGGCTGGCGTGGCGCGGGTACTCCGCGCGCACGGCGGGGGGTCGGTGGCTGCACGCGTGCGTTGTTGCGCAACGACAGCCGACAAGCGTTGGAGAAACTCAGCAGATTTGTTCTAGCCAGCTACTGGCGGGCAGGCGACGTCCCGCGCCGCCAACGCTGGCAGCTCAGCGCCACAGAGCCCTCACAAGCGAAGTTCCACCGATTGTCGACAGATGTCTCTCGCATCGACCAGCTGCTTTCGTCGTCCGTCATTTACAGGGGGGTGGGGGAGGGGCATGCCGACGCGCCGAGCTGTTGCCTTCCTCGACATCTCTCTCCCTCTCCTGAAGGGCGTGGTGCATGATGATTGGCCCGGCGCCCAACTTCCTTTAGAGGGAGACGTGATGATGCAGTGCCTTCCGGGGGAAAAGAACATGATGATCGGGTCCCGGTAAATTATCCGACCCTCTCTTCCTCAATCTTGCTTCATCCTGTATCCTCGCGACGCCCCGCTTGTCCAGGGCAGGCTGCATTTGTCAGCCACAAGTGGGCCGATATCCCGGTGGGAAGGGGGACCCCGACCTGGTACCCAACGCGCATGCGCGGGTTAAAGCTCGGCGGTTGTCCCTTCAGGCGCATGCGCGCTTGTCTCGCCTTTGACCATTTTTCCTTGATTGCATAGCTCTGAAAGGATCGTTTCTGATCGAGGGCTTTAATCCACACAATCAAACCGGGTCCCAGCGCCCCACTCCCTCCAGTATCAGATACAATAAATCAGATCGGTATCTGGTACTGCGATTGATATCATCACTTCCATCACCTGCAATTACCACACGCCTGACCTTCATCTGCCTGACCTCCCCCAAACGAACGTAGTCCAGGGGCAAACGGGGTTCATGACTCTCCTCCTGAGGCCAGAGGTTTGTGTAAGGATAGGATAGGAAAGGAGAGGATGATGTGCGATTTTGCAGGAGTGCGGTCGAAATTATTCCTGCGAGAGTGCTGACAAAAGCTATCATTTGCAGCTCCCCCGAACAAAAAACTTTAAAATGTGTTGTCATCGCATTTCTTCCGTAAGAATGACAATATGCATTTCAAGTTTTTCGGATTATTTACCAAATATTCCCTTATATCAGCAACGTTACACTAATGACCAAGTAAGTAGTTCCCAAAACACGATTAACATAGAGTGATAGTCAACTTCTTCAAACTTTCGCAGCGTTCCAGCAGAATTTACTGCAGACGCTCCAGCCAGCATAGGGGGGGGGGGCGGGGGGGGGGGGGGGCTAATCAACATGGTGCACAGGGCATTTACAATAGAAAACAAACCATGCCCCTGGCCCCTGCCCCCTACACATGTGCTCAAGTTGGAGTCTACACACAATTGTATCATAGTTATAGATAGGAGGTACAGTCTGCTATCCCTATTCCTCATAGAATAACCAGGAGGAAGACAAGAGATGCGTTGCTATTTCAACTGCGCGCTTTCATCGAAACGAATATGAGAAGGAAATTCAAAATTGCCTGCCGATACTGCTCGATATTTCATGTGTGTTTTTTTAACAGCTGGCCACAGTTCTTACAAGCCACCAACATTCGGGAGATCAAACCAAGAGCAATTGTCAGCCATAATTTTGATGCAGTGTATATCCAACTAAGCATTACAATACGCAAAAAACATGTGTATATGCAAACGATTTCAAGTAAAGAGACATCACGCATTACGTATTTTTCAAACATGCAAGCGATTTCAAGTAAAGAGGCATGATGCATCACACATCAGTTACACATGCAAACGATTTCAATTCAACAGGCACTGCGCGTCGTGCATCACGCATCACGCATCACTCATACACGTCAGCAATTTTAAGCTAGCACGCATCACGCGTTAAGGCAATATTCACATTCTCATAATCGGTCGTAAGGGTGCCGGTAGCGTAGTGGTTAGCGCGTCTGCGTTAACCACTGCGCATCTGGGAGACCATAGGCGCGGGGTTCGATTCCCCGCGGCGCCTGGCCCTTCCTTCCAGGGTGAGAGGCAGGCGAGGGCATATATATATAGCCTCAGCAGCTGACTGCGTCGTAAAGCCACAACGGCACACACACATAATCGGCCATGATGGGCGCTGCATACACTCCTGCCGTCGCCTGCCGCCGCTGTAAATCCCAAGTACTAAATGCACATCATCTATGCCACCGTCATCAGTCACCCTGGTAAGGTACTAGTTTTATCAACCACTTGAACCCACTGCATCAAAGGCAAATATACACGGCAATCTATTTTTCCGTCCAGTGAAGGCGCACGGCTACCCTGCTGCAGTCATAATCGGTGAACGATCTCAATGGCCGAGTTCAAGGGAGCGCCGGGCGGGGGGGGGGGGGTAGAGGTGGACACGGGATCGTGCACCCCCCCCCCCGCCGTTGATCTCAGCGCCACCTCGAGGCGGCTGTCGCGGCGCGGCCGGCACCGCGGCGCGTCGCGGCGGCGGTGGGTGACCGGACAGGAGATTTTGCTTTCACGCAGTCGCTTTCCAGTGGCGGCGGTATTGGACTCATTAGGAATTGGTTTGCTCCCCGCTGCGGGAAATTATCACTGATTACTGGGTGCAGGAATGTTAGGCCTCAAAATGAAATGTTTTCACAATTTTTCAAAAATATCAGAACTCCCTTAATTCACATTATAAAGCACCTAAAAAAACAGCTCAAACAATATTTTTAGCACTTACCTTGCTTTCCCTTAAAACATAAAAAGTTTCGTGGATCAAAAACTGGGGAAATCTGATGTGGCAACGCAGCCGGACCGAATTTCTCCAACTTTCAAATGACATCCCAGTAGCCACACTTGACAAGCGGCGCCGCTGCCGCCACACCTGCCAAGCCGACCTCTGCATCCGTATGCACACCATGGTGTTGTCGCACACTGGCGTGTCATGCTCGATACGTCTACCGCACTGCGAGGCGTGGAAAGTCGTTGCGAAACAGATCTGCGAAAACAGCGGTCGGCTTCCTGTATTGCTGCACGTGCGTGAAGCTCGAATCAGGCATAATCCGTTTGAACCCTAGTACTGTACAGGCGTCGGCCTGCGCGGACCGCTGTAGCTGTCTAGCGGTTTTCTAGCGGTTTTGTATAGGAAATGGTGACATTGCCGGCTGCCGGCTATTCACGCAATTCCGGACAAGTTTAACCTGTACCAGGTGGCCTCCAGTAGCCAGCGCGGAGCTAAGCGTAGCGTTCGCTCTATGGAAGCGGCCTGCCGCCGTGCGGCCGTATTATCGCACGTTGCGCAACTGCAGCGGTGGATTGCACATGCAGAGATTCGCTTGACCGGTTGGAGAGACGGGGTTGCAACACGTGCTGGTTGACGCTGCTGCATGTGATCCGAAGATTATTCGCAGATGAAAGTGCGCGGTCTGAGAGTTTTATGGTATTGCAGCAGCGGGTCGCCGGACATGAAAGCCGCTGGCTTTGCTCGGTTCGAAGCCTGGGGCCAATGCAATTCTCCTAGCGTGGCTGGGATCGAAAGCCACCGGCATTGTGTGTCATTGAGGTTTTACGACGCACTCAGCTGCTGAGGCCATATGGCGTCGCCAGCCTCTCACCCCGGCGGGAAGGGCGGGCATCGCGGGGAATCGAACCCCGTACCTCTGGTTTCCCAGACGCGCAGTGGTTAGCGCAGACGCGTTAACCACTACACCACCGGCACCCCAGCCACCGGCATTGAAAGTGAATAAATAAATAAATAAATAAATATATATATATATATATATATATATATATATATATATGTATAATAAACATATATACTACGCAACCTATATATATTATATATATATATGTATATATATGTAGTATATATATACTGGTTATATATATAGAATATATATATATAATATATATATATATATATATTGTGGCTATGAGTCGAGAACCAAATTTTCTCCCAAAATTAAACACGTACACTGGATAGCCTTACACCTGCTCCAAAACCTATCGGTAAATTACATGATAATCACGGCCCTCCTTCATGAAACAAGTTTCGTCCATCTATAGCTTTTCTATGAGACTGCATTTGCCTATCCAATTCCGGCTAAAAACAAAACAAAAACGCCGGGCTATTTTTACTTAAATTAGTTACAGAAGCAAGCCACTGACACTTGTCAAGTTTGTCTTAAGCCGGTAATCTGGTGTAATCTCATGATTAACAAATCCTTTCGGCACAATTATGGTCGAGCGTGGCAAAGGATTTGTTCAGTCCTTTATATCCAACTCACACTTTAACTGACGTCAAGCATCGATTTGACATAACCGCTTCATCAGGTGTATAGGACACGGGGCAGAAATCTGATTGGAGCGCAGTTTAAAGTACCGTGTACAAATTGGGGGAAAGTACATGATTTCGCACTGGGAGGTGTAATTTGACACAGCTTTACTTTCGAGCAGCGTCATCACACAACGAGCTCTCCGCGAACAGCATCACCAAACAGCGGCACTCCGCGAACAGCTTCACCACACAGAAAACACTCTGTGAACGGTGTCACCACGCAGCGAGCACTCCGCGAACAGTGTCACCACACAGCGTCACTGCACAGCGCCACCACACAGCAAGCACCACGTGAGCAGCGGCTTCCCGCAGCGAGCACTTCGTGAACAACGTCTTCACGCAGCGAGCACTCGGTGAACAGCTTTACCACACAACGAGCACCCCATGAACAACGTTATCACACAGCGAGCACTCCATGAACAGCGTCACCACACAGCGAGCTCTCCATGAGCAACGTCACGACATAGCGGGCACTCCGCGAGTAGCGTCGTCACACAGCGAGCACTCAATGAGCAACGTCACCACACAGCGAGCACTCCGTGAACGACGTCACCACACAGCGAGCGCTCCGTGGACAGCATGACTATAAATAAGCTCCAAAAGCCATAGCCACTCTAAGCAAGCCAACTTCGAAAGTGATACCGAAGGTTATCAGCTCACAGTGCCACACAAGTGAGAATCGCAAGAAGAGCCACGGTCTTTGATGCCGTGGTGCCACTGGCAGTGATTTGTCCGCTACTGTCCCTCACTGATACCATACAGCTTCCCGTGGGATGACCGCACTCGGCGCGGCCAGCAGATGCACGAAAAAAGCACATCCGCACGCTCGAGGGCTGAAAATCTGACCGTCCGTTCCGCGGTCAACGGCACGGCGCGGCGGGACGGGAGCGACAGCTGATGCCGGTGTCAGAGGCGGCGGCGGTTCGGCGGACGAGGGCGGCTCAGCGGGTCCGGTGTGGATCGCCGGACAACGGCCAGAGTCTGAGCCATGCACCCTTTCTGGCTCCAGGCCAGGCGTGTCCCCGCCGGGCCTCCTCGGAGGAGTTCACAGCACAACGCGTTCGTGAGACAAGAGCGCCCGCCGGCGCAGTCCCAGTTTCACAATAACGGCGTTAGATGTCACTGTCGACCATTCGCTAGGTGACGGTCGTGTCGCGCGGCACGGTCGGCCGCCTGTAGCTGCCGTCGCCGGTGCGCGCGGCGCGGCGCGCCACCACCTCCGACTTCACCGTCTTCAGGTCGTGCGCCAAGCCGAAGCGGGCGCACAGGTCGATGAAGCAGGTGGTGAGGTTGAAGGCGTAGCCGGGCAGCTCGGCGGCGCGGTAGTCCCATGGGAAGACGTGGTGGTAGTTGTGCCAGCCCTCACCGAGCGCCGCCACGGCCACGCCGACGTTCTCGGCCGGGCTGATGTGCTCGTCGTACGGGTGCATGCCCCAGATGTGCGCGGCGCTGTTCACCAGCCAGGTGCAGTGCAGCGAGGTGGCGTACCTGAAGGTGCTCAGCAGGAAGGCGGTGGCCAGGCCCTCGCCCCAGCACAGCCACGGCACCACCGTCGGCACGACGAGGGACCAGAACACCATCAGCGGTATGTAGAACCGCTTCTGGAAGGCCACCACCGGGTCGGCGAGCAGGTCGGACAGGTCGATTTTGGCGCCCTTGCGGCGCACCTCCGGGTGCTTGCGCATCATCAACCAGCCGCAGTGGGCGAAGAAGAAGCCCCGCTTGGCGTTGTGCGGGTCGGCGTCCGTCTCCGAATGCCGGTGGTGCAGCCGGTGGTCGCGCACCCACTCGTAGATGTCGTTCTGGCCGGCCACCGTGAACAGCACCATGAGTAGCACGCGCAGCGGCCAGCTGGCGCTGTAGGCGCGGTGCGCCCACAGCCGGTGGGCGCCGGCGGTGACGCCCAGACCGCTGCCGATACCCCAGGCAAAGGTGTTGATCACCGTGCGCCGGTCGGCCACGGTCAGCATGCGTATGAGCCCGACCACGGCTAGCACGTGCAGCGTGGACAGCAGCGCCATGCTGCGCAGCGCCAGCTCCGGCTTCGGCGGCTCCGGCTCCGGCTCCTGCCGGGCCGCCGGCTCGCGCAGCTCCGGAGCCGGCTTCTGCGTCCTCGCCGCCGCCGCGGCTGCGTCCGCCGCCGCGTGCACGTTGGGCGCCATGGCGCGGCTGAGCAGCGTCCTCCGGCGAAGCACCGAGCCGAGTGTCTGTCCGCCTGGGCTGCCGCCCGGCCCGCGCGGGAGGGACTTTCACCGGGCGCCTTCCTCCCAGCCCGTACGGGTCAGCTGGTCCGCACCGGCTGCGCTGCTCCTCCGCTGCGCGGTGCGGACGCGCCTGCCTCAGCGGCCTCACCCCGCGCAAGCGTCCTGCGGCCCACAGCCGACTCGTCCGACTCGTCCGGTTCGTCCAGCCCCGCGAGCTCGCCCGCTCCGCTGCCCCGTCGCTCCTCGTTTGGCGCGCTCGCCGTCCGCGCGCGGTGCGGGGGGACAGACGCGCCGCCGGCGGCTCGCACCGTTATATGCACTGTTTGCCGGCGTCGGGTGACGCAAGAGCGGCCGCTGTCGGCCTCGACACTCTGTGCCGACTGAGACCCGGGCCGCTTGCAGCGCGCGCTTAGCATGGAGAGGCGCGGCCCTGCGCTGGGAGCCGCTCGTTTTTGCATCGATGCATTTGGGACGAAGGGATTAGGCGTCTTGTTTGAATATATTTGCATGTTGTCCTTCAGCGGGCACCCCGCATGCCGTCGCCGCGCCAGGAAAAGTCCGGCGAAATGCGACAGGCCGCATGATCAGCACGTTCAATTCGTTCAAGATCACAGGTCCCAGACCACAAGACGACGACGAAATTCGCGGTCAGCGAACACTCGGTGCGCTACTTAGGCTCCCGTCACACCGAGCTGTATGTGTGTGTGTGTCAGTAGAATTTGCTGGTCGTGAAATGCAGACCCAGTGAAAAAAGTGGAGGCGATTGAGAGTACCCTGGACGTGGCTTGAAACTTGACTGCAAACAGGCCTCATCGCTCAGTCATCTCAGGACGAAATGTGACGCTTGAATTACTTGCATTCAACGCAAACAATAAGGTCAGCAGGTAAGGGGCAGGGGGAGGCTATCGTCCCCAAGAATAGACGCACGGTCATCTTTTTCACGCGGCTAATGACAGTCAATGTTTTTGAAGGAGGAGCCAACTTTTGGTCGAAAGTTAACGACGCATGCACGCACTCTGGTTAGCCCTGTTTAGTGCAAGCTGCGAATTGAACGCTTCAAAATTAGCAAGATTTTGAAAATATCCAGCTTTGTTTGAGAAATTCATCCATTGCATAATGTGGCCATCATCATGAAAACAGCTTTACTTAACCAGATTCACTTTGGTTTATCTTGTTGTTTATTTATCAACCAACATTAAAGTAGCTGTTCCACAGACGTTGTGAATCAATTGCTTTTGAAAAAATTCAATCTAACTACGCAATTTTCATAAATCATAGAAGAGCCTCTGATTCTTCTTCAACAAGACGTTATTAACCGCGGTAAGATCAAACGCAATCCTCAAGCACCATGGCTTGGTGCCCGAAATAAATTTCATTGTTGTCCAGTACACAGCGTTCAGACCCAGCGGTAGCGCAGAGCGAGAAATTACAACATTCCTAGCACTGGCGGCTGTCAAACAGCCGTCGATCAGGTGATGACAACCGACTTCATGACACCTAAGGAGTCACGAACGTTCGGTGTTATGATACATTAGTACATGTGATACATTAGGTGTTTTCAGCATTAGGCGTTATGAGGCATTAGTGGTTACGAACATGAGGTGTTGCGACAATCCCTTGAATATTCGTGTTGTGCACGACTTTGACCGACATTCGAAGCATGAAATCTAAGGAACGATTGCATTGATGTACGCTTGCCATCGCCTAGGCGCACTTTTTAAATACCCGCTGCTAAACAGGTGACACTTGCACAAAATCTTTTGACGTTCTTGCCTTTTTCACTCACACCAGCTGGCAGTGACCAAAAGAAGTTTTTGGCATTTGGAAAAGTTCGGTCAGAATCCCACAACAAATACGGAACTTCACCGGTAACAATTATGCGGTCGCCTTGACCTGGGCAGAGGCTACACTGAAGCATGTGGTGACGTCACAGCAAGGCTCCTCACACCGGCCGCCCCTGCCGGGTGGACAGAAGCTGGCTCGCTTGACATAGGTCGCGCCGGTACCAGGAATTGGTGGGGCTTAAGCCAGCCCCCCTTGAATTCCGAGGAGCCCTTCGGGGTCACTGGGAGCCTACGATCAAGAGCCCGAAAGGCAAACTGGAGGTCGCATTCAGGGGCCCCGGCCCGCAGGACCGAGCACTCCAGTGCCAGGCAGAGAGTCCTGTGCACTGATCAGGGGTCACCTGGGTCGATAAGGACCTATATGTCGGTAAAGCCCCGCTAATGACGCACAATGGGCTCCGTGGCAGCATGGATCTACGAGCCCATTTCCCAAGCAGGAACAAAGACGGAGCCAATGATCCACATTGCTCGGA